GGAGGGAGAGAGGGGGAAAAGAGGGAGGGAGAGGGGAGGGAGAGAGGAAGGGAGAGAGGGGGGAGAGAGGGGGAGAGAGAGGAGAGAGAGAGAGAGAGAGAGAGAGAGAGAGAGAGAGAGAGAGAGAGAGAGAGCACAAAAAGAGGGAGTCTCGGGCTGAGTAAGGAAGCTCAGCTCCTCAATTCACCTTGGCATTTACTGGACATTTATTTGCCAGGCTTTGTGCCAGACACGGGCTAAGGGTAGGGTCAAAGATGAATAGACCGAGGTCAGGCGAACCTACAGACCTTAGCCTGGACCCTGGGTCAGCCAGACACATTCCTCTCCCTGTGCAGCTTCTATGTCTACCATCTGCGAAGTCGGTGTCCCTTCATGTCCCCCTCCCCTGTCCTTCAGGCACAATCCTCCTGTGTCCAAAATCTCCAGCCTGCCCTGTTCTTGCCATTCCCAGGGGCAACTGTAGCCACTTGACAATACGAAGGAAGCTGGCACTTCTGGCTGGCTGCTTACTCAAGTGCGTATGTGTTATTCACATGTGTGCACACAAAGGACACAGGCAGCGGGTGGGGGACAAGGGGGCTCACGATGTCACAATCAGGCCAAGGAGTGAATAGAACGCTCTTCAATGCCAGCCACATGATCCTGAGACCTTTGCCGGTTCAGCTCACAACTGGGGGTAATACTATGCTTTTGTCTTTCAGGATGATGAGAAAGTTATACAGCCATGGTTAATGATAATTACCCTAATTTCACTTTTCTTAAAATCGTATTTATTTTTCTTTATGTGTGTGCATGTACAAATGTGTGTGTGCCCCTGGAGCCCAGATGAGGGCATCAGACGCCTTGGAGTTACTGGGGCTTGTGAGCTGCTCAGTGTGGGTTCTGGGAACTTAACTCAGGTCCACTGAAATGGCAAGTGCTCTTAAGTGATCTGCCAGCTCCTCAACCCCCAAGCTCATTTCTTCACTAATAACTTTCCAGTGTGACATCACACAGATGGCAGAAAAGTGTGGGGCAAAAGTGGTTCTCAAAAGTCACCTTGGAAAAGTCATATAACCTCTTGGACTTCATTTCACCATCTATAAAACTGTGATTCCCATTTAAGACGCACTGAAACCTGGAAAGAGTTAAATGAGATCCTGTGTGAGAGGGTAGAGCGTAAGGCTTGGCAGGCTGTAATTACCCATACCTGGCAGTCATGTCCTTCTCGCTGTTGTTGTCATTATGAAAATCACAAATACGAAAGGATAAAGTCGTGCTTTGAGAACTCCACATCCTTGGGAACGCCCTTATTACCTTCTCATTTCTTGTTTCCTGTGATCTGCATTGTCCAGTGGGCAGTTAGAATCAGCTCTTTGAGGGGCGAATCCTTGGCCTAGAGAGGACCACTTCCTCAGTGCTGAATGAGGAGAGCAATCTGATCGCCTGCATTTCCCAGGATATCAACAGGGACATAGTGTGGCGTGTGTGTACCAGCATCGTGATTCTCTCCTGATTCTGACAGACTGGTAAGACAGCACAGTGCACCACGTGGCCTCGTTTGGGAATTGTCTGAAGAAGGGCTTCCAAGCTCCAAAGCCAACACTGCTTACCCATGGCCTGTGAAAGAAAGTAATTGGTAATCGTACAGCCAGAAGAATCTTTGGACAGCTTTGGCACCCTGGTCAGCCCATTAGTCCAACACAGTATGACCCCTCTGGACTATTTACTCAGGTACTCTGGGTGAACTCTGGCTAGCTCTGCTCATCCCCAGTGCAGGTAAAGTGATCTTTAGGGGATGTTATTTATTTATTTACTTATTTACTTACTTATTTCTTCCTCTCTCATATATTACATCCTGACCACAGTTTCCCTTCCCTCTTCTCCTCCCAGTTCTCCCCTTCCCCCAGATACACTCCTCTTTCATTTCCCTTCAGGAAAAGGCAGGCCTCCCAGGGATATCAACCAAACATGGCACAATAAGATGCAATAAGACTAGGCACATACACCCATACCAAGGCTGGACAAGGCGACCCAGTAGGAGGAACTAGGAGTCCCACAAGAGGACCAAGCTACACAACCATAACACATAGGCAGGGGGCCTAGGTAAGTCCCGTGAAGGCTCCCTGACTGTTGGTTCAGTCTCTGTGAGCCCCTATGAGCCCAGGTTAGTTGTTTTGTGGATTTTCTTGTGGTGTCCTTGACCCCTCTGGTTCCTCCAATCCTTCCTCCCGCTCTTCAGCAGATTCCCCAAGCTCCACCTAATGTCTGGCTGTGAGTCTCTGCATCTGCTCCCATTATTTGCTGGATGAAGCCTCTCTGATGATGATTATGTAGGCTCCCTATCTACAAGTATAGCAGAATATCATTAGGGATCATTTCATTAATTTTTTTTCCAGTCATGTTTGGTTCTATCCTAGGTCTCTGGGCCATCCAGCCTCTGGGTTCTGGCCCTCCAGGTAGTGTTAGGCATGGGTTCCCTCTTGTGACATGGGTCTCAAGCTGGACTAGTTCAGGCTCTGTACCCCTTATTGATAGGAATCTTCACTAGGGTCACCTCATAGATTCCTGGGAACTTCCATTGTACTAGGTTTCTACCTCAGCCCGAAATGCCCCCCATTCCAGCTATCTTTCCCAGTACTTCCTCACCCCAACCTGATCCCTCCTGTTCCCATCCCCTACCCTCAACATCTACTCAATTTTCCCTCAACAGTGAGATTCACACACACACACACACACACACACACACACACACACACACACACACACACCTCTTGAGCCCTCCTTGTTACTTAGCCTCTCTAGGTCTGTGGATTGTAGCATAGTTATCCTTTATTTTATAGCTAATATCTGTTTGTAAGTGAGTACATACCATGTTTGTCTTTCTGGGTCTGGGTTACCTCACTTAGGATGATTTTTTTCAGATTTCATCCATTGTCCCGAAAATTTCATGATGTTATTTTTTTAACAGCTGGGTTAATGTACTGTGTAAATGTACCACACTTTCTTTATCCATTCTTCAGTTGAGGGGTATCTAGGTTGTCTCCAGGTTCTGGCTATTATGAATAAATCTGCTATGAGCATAGTTGAGCAAGTGTCCTTGTGGTATGATGGAGCATCCTTTGGGTATATGCCCAGGAGTGGTATAGCTGGGTCTTGAGGTAGATTAATTCCCAATTTTCTGAGAAACCACCATATTGATTTCCAAAATGGCTGTACAAGTTTGCACTTCCATCAACAATGGATGAGTGTTCCCCTTGCTACACATCCCCTCCAGCATGAGCTGCCACTTGTGTTTTTGATCTTAGCCATTCTGGCAGGTGTAAGATGTAATCTCAGAGTCGTTTTGATTTGCATTTCCCTGATGGCTAAGGATGTTGAACATTTCTTTAAGTGTTTCTCAGCCATTTGAGAGTCCTCTGTGGGGAATTCTTTGTTTATATCTGTATCCCATTTTTAATGAGATTATCTGGTTTGTTGATGTCTAGTTTCTTGAGTTCTTTATATATTTTGGATATTAGCTCTCTGTCAGATGTGGAGTTGGAGAAAATCTTTTCCCATTCTATAGGCTGCTGTTCTTATACAGGATGCAGGATGGCCTTGTGTGGTGGTGGGAGCTGAAAGAACAACACACATTTGCTCCAACAGCTCTTATGTGGAGCTAAAACCAAGCCTCCGTCCTTCGCCAGCGTATGTGGGGGGTGAGGGCGCAATGAACAAAATGTTCTAAGATGGAGCTGGTTTCAAAGTTTGTACTAGGGAAGCAGCTAGAGGAATTTATCGAGGAGCAAAGTGGTGGGTGTGTTATTCTGGTCATGCCGAAGGAACTTGGAAAAGAGAGTCAGAAAATGGGGGGGAAAGCCGTGCAGTGACAACTTGGCAGCCAAATAAAAGGGAACCAAGGAAAACAACTCAGTCTGAAAGAGGATTGAGGAGGCCCCTGGAGAAGAGGGGCATCAATTTGACAACTTGGCCAGAAATCTGGACACTGTAAGAGACAATTTAGTGCTGGGTCATGCCCTAGGCGGAATTTATTGTTGCTTTCCTTGTTAACTCGCCTCATGTTTAAAGTCAAAACTGCCATGGCTCCAAGAGGCTTTTATCTTTGTCATTTGTGTAACCGGCCTCAAAATACAGACCCGAGAGCAAGGGCCCCAACACCCTTCCTGAGAGGTGAAGCATTCTAGACTTCAAGGATGCTGAAGATGACCCTTTAAAGGTTGTGAGTTTGGGAAGGTTCTGCATGAGGTTTGTGCTCTGAGAAAAATGATGGAAGGAAGAGCAGGAATGTGCGCTGAGGCACTGTGGCCCTGCAAAGCCGCACAGAGGAGGACACACCTGAAAGCAGGTTACGGGTTACGGGCACAGACCAGTGGGAGCTCGCTGCAGACCACATGCAGGCCCCCACCTGTCCTGGCTTGCCGGCTGCCCAAGGGGCAGGATTCCACTTTCTGCTGCTGCACAGGCAAATTGAGTTAACCTCATCACCGTGAAGCCACCTTTAGGCCTAGTCCAGGTGAGTAGTGAATTTACTCTTGAGCCAAAGATACGTGACAAGTGAGGCGCGGGAAGAAACCAGCGCGCGACCCTCAGGAGAGAGCCGCTTCTCTGGGTATAGCAAGGGAGGTGGGGAGCCTGGGAATGTCACCGAGCCGCCAGTGGCCAAGGTCTCCCCTCCAGTCCCCTCCAGCCTGCTGAAGCGCAATTAGCAGAGCCCGGCGTGCCGCCCCAGGCTAACGATGTTTATCCAGACATACCGCACGGGTGGAACCCGCCCCACATTCCGCGCGGAGCTCCGCAAGGACGCCACCGGCGGGTGCGCAGCCCGCCGCCCCTCCCCCGCCGCCTTCCTGCGCCGCAACCTGCACTTGACCCCCGCGAGCCTGGCGCGGCGCGGCTCGGCCGCCCAGCCGGAGCCGAGTGCACAGACCGGCCGGGGCCGGGCCCGACGGCGTCGCCTCGAGAGAGGCGCAGAAGTCTGGACCTTTGGTTTCACCGGAGGGGACGTGGACCCGGGACGTAGAGATGGGCCACCGCAGAGTCTTGTCTCCAAATGAGGAGCTGTGGAAGAGGAGGCCCAGGGCGACACCATGGGCCGTCCCTGGATAGTGGCAGGCGACTCTGGGGGCCTTCTCAGCAGCATGGAGTTGACTCTCTGTGCCTCAGTGTCTCCCCAGCCACGTTATGTAATCTAAACCCGTCTGATCTGTCCTCAGCTGGAGAAGAGCTTAAGGAGACGCTGTAGACAGAAACCGAACACTAGAACGCAGCGTAGTTTATTTACCTTTATTAAGCTCCTGAGGTTGTTTATTTCTTTAGAAATGCAGCTGGTGACAGTGCTGGGCAGTGAGCGTTTCCTCTTGTCTCCAAATAATCGCACTTTTCATTTCCAAGCACAGTCTGCAGCCCTCCCAAGCCTTCCTTCTTCCTAGAATGTTGCTCTGCTTCCCAGCACCAGTGGCCTTTTCCTCAGACCCACAGGCAGAGCCTGAATAAAGCCAGAGAAAAGAGTCCTGCTTTGCTGTTGCAGCCTGGGAAGAGAAAATTAAATTTTTGTGTTGAGATTTTTCATCTGAAACGAAATGATCTCTCGTGTCCTAAAAATAAGATCATTTCTAAACTAAGGACTCCACACACCCTTAAAACTGTGATTCTAAAAGTATTTCTGACTGGCAAGAAAGAAGCAAGCTCTTCTAGGCACGCCACAGAAATGCTGTAGTGGATGAGTCCATCCCTCCCGCCCAGTAGCTCCCTTTGCCCACATCCCCCAAAACAGTAACAATAAGGATTGTGTTTGTGACATTTGTCATTTTAAAAA